TCATGAAAACTGAAAAAGGAGGGAGTGTCAAAGAGAAAATAGTGGTCAGCATTGTAAAATACTAGAGAGATGTCAAGGAGGATGAGGAAAGAGGAAAGATCACTAAAGCTAGCAACTAAGGGATCATTAGTAATCCTGGATAATGTCTTCAGAGTTACTTTACTAAAAAGGCCACCAAAAGCCTATTTACAATGTACACAAGAAAACCCATCTCATTACTTGGTAGCTGCCCAAGATGACTTCTTGGAAGAGTACAACTTTCATTTGCCTCAATATTTGCTGGTATGTTCATTTAAAAAAATCCATGAAATGTTTCTTTATGGTCATACCTAGTACTAGGCTAGAAAAATTATGATGTTGAATGCAAAGTGTTGGATAAATTGGAGCTGGAATAATTTTAACATTCCTTTAATTTTTTTTATTGCTTCCATTGAATGTAAGTTCCTTGTTGGCAGAGACTTGTGCTATATCCCATTCTGGTAAGCATTTCTTGCTCTTCTTCCCATAGCCACTCATGGAGATGAAAATTATTCTTGGAAATTTGGTTTGGTTATTGTTTTTCTCAAAAGCTGCATTGTGAATAGATAACTAAAAGCAGAATTTTATACCATCTAAAATATATTTCCCTTTCTACTTCAAATTTCACTACCACTCTAATAATTTAGAAAATCAGCTACATGGGTACAGGATAGGGAAAAACATGACTTGAAAGCAACTCATATGAAAAAGGACCTAGAGGATTTAGTGGTATACTGAGAGGAAATGACTTAGAAGTCTTACGTGGCCACCAAAAAAAAAAAAAGGTCATGAAACCTTAGGCTGCATTGATGACAAGAAGAGTTACTCTCATTTAAATAGCACTTTAATGATTACAAAGCATATTAAATCCATTGTTTCATTCTATCCTCATAACGCCGTATGGTAGAAAATTCCCAGTTGCTAAGGAGATTTCACTGTTCTATAAATTCTGTAGTTAGTCCCCATTTAGAGTATACCATTTCATCCTGGGCTCCACATTTTTAAAAGGATATTGATAAATCAGAGTATTGTTTAGAAAAAGGACAAACTAGGATGATGATGGGCCTAGAAACCTTGTCATGGGAGGACCACTTGAAGAAACTCAGAGTGTGTAGCCTAAAGGAAGATTAAGAAGATGTGATCATTGTCTTTACTATTTGAAGTATTGCCATTTGGAAGAAGGGTTAGACTTCTGCTTGGTTCCAGAGGGCAGAGCTAGAACAAGTGAAGGACTTAACTTCAGCTCAATGCAAGGAAAAACTTCCTAACCAAGAGAGCCGTCAAAAAAAGGAATTGGCTGTCCCAGAGGGTAGTGAACTTTCCATGAATAGAAATCTTTTAGCTCAGGTGAGAAAACCACTTACTAGAGAACATTCTAGGCAAGATTGATGATTTGGGTTAGGGTTGAATTGTGTAGTTCAAAGGCAAGAGAGACAGAACCAGACAGTAGAAAGAACTTGACTCTTTAATTTTATTTTTTATACTGAATTTAACAAACACCAAATAATGTTACCATTTCTAGAAATAAAACAAAACAGAAAAAGAAGATAGCATCTGCAACCGTGGATCAGTATCACATCCAGGTTGTTTCTTCCTCCAAGTATACAACAAATTAAGTATGTTATTTTTTAAGCTAAATAGTTTATATATCCTACTGCCCTTCCTTCTATTCTCTTCTGTTCACTTTATCAAATGCTTCAATGACACTCTTTTCTGATTTTTCTTCTTTTTTTATTTTGGTAACCCTATTGCTAGTCATTCTACCCAGCCTAACTCATATCCCCTGTGGAAGAAAGAAAAATTGAACCCTTGTATCAAATATACAGTGAAACAAAACAAATGCATACATTAGCCATGACCCAAAATACATGTCTCATTCCACACGTTGAGTTTATGACCTCTAAGTCAGAAATAGTATATTTCCAGTCCCTTGGAAATACTGTTTGTTCATTGCATTAATCAGAGTTCCTAAGTCTTTCTTAGTTGTTTTTCTTTATGATGTTGTTATTGGATAATTTATTATCCTGGTTCTGTTCACTTCACTCTGCACAAGTTCAAGTAAGTCTTCCTAGGATTATCTTTAAACCATCCCTTTCATCATTTTTTTAAAAAAAATAACACAGTAATATTCTTTTATATTCCTATACACTAATTTGTTTTGGCATTTTTCAGTAATGAGTATCCCCTTCTTTACAGTTCTTTGTCACTACAAGAAGAGCTAATATATATTTTTTTCATTTTTCAGGATATTAATCACTTAACTGAAACCACTCTTTCCAAATTACTACTCATCTCTTAATTGACAAATTTGATGCTCTTCTGTCAGTACTTACCCATCTCAATATATCTACTGCTTCATACCCTGTTCACATGCATCCTAGACACTCTAGCCTTCATGGGTTTTAATGGCATTACGCTCTCTGGCTCACCACTTACTTGAGCTAGCACTCCTCAGTCTCCTTTGGTGGTTCATCATCCATATCATGACCCTAATTGCGAGTGTCCTCTCATGTTTTGTCCTATGCATTTTTCTCTTCTCTTTCTATCCTCTTTTATCAACCTCATGGTTTAAATTTGTCTATGCAGATGACTCACAAGTCTTTACATCTAGCCCCAGTCTCTCCTTCAATCCCACATCATCCATTGCCTCTTGATTATTTCCACCTGGATTCCCAGAGGCATCTTAAACTAAACGTTTTTCAAAACGGAATTCATTTTTATTGCCCCAAACCCTCCTCTCTTCCAAACTTCCCCAATTGTGTTGAAGGCACCATCATCCTTCCATTATCCAAGGTGCATAACCTCAGTATTATCCTCACTTCCTCATTCTCTCTCCCCAAACATATCCAGTCAGTTGTCAAATATTGTGATTCCTACCTTCACAATATCTCTTCTATTTGTCCCCCTTTTTCCACTTACATACCTGCCAACTTAGTTCAGACCCTTATTGCCTCTAAATTATTACCACAATCTCCTAATTAGGCTCCCTACCTCAGGTCTCTTACCACTCCAGTCCATCCTACATACTGTTGCTAAATTAATTTTCCTTAAGCACATAGCTGACCATTTGACTCCCCTACTCAAAAACTCCAGTAGCTTCCTATTGCTGCTAATATTAAAAAACTCTTCTGTTTAGTTTTTAAAGCATTTGACATTCTGGCCCTAACCTATCTTTCCAGCCTCACTGGAAATTATTCCCCTTCCCACACTGTGCTATCCAGCCAAATTGGCCTTCTCTCTCTTCCTCTCTCTGTCTCCTGCCTGTTTGTTGTTGCACTGTCCATCCCACAAGCCTGGAAGGTTTTCCTCCTTTACTTCCACCTAACAGAGTTCTCTTATTTTAATGTATTGCTTAAGAACCATCTTTTGCATGAATTCTTTCCTCATCCCTACAATGGTTGGTGACCTACCTCCTATACTATCTTGCATCTATAATAATATAAAGAATATATTCATTTTATATTTATGTTGTACAGGTTTATATATGTACTTCTTGTATCTACCATTAGAATGGAAGCCCTTGTGAGTAGACAGCATTTCATTTTTTATGCGTTGTAACCCCCAGCACCTAGTACAGTGGCTGGAACGTGGTGAATGCTTAATAAATACTTGTTGATCAGTTGATTTAGTGGTTTGATTGGTACAGCACCAACATAAGTAAATTAAAATTTTATTATAACAGCATGGTCTAAACTTCAATAATTATACAGGTCTGTCTTTAGCATTATTATTCTTAAATCCTTCAAAAATTTCATTTCAATTACAGGGAAGCAAGTAAAGGGGTGAGATTTGTTTTAGAACTTTCAAACTTATTGCTTCCAACTTGTTCATTTTGTACCTTATTTTCTTTGGAAATAAATGGCCTCATGTAAGGCCAAATGCCTTTTATTGAATAGCTGAGTGTAAAAATACATCCTCCAACTTTTTAAGTTAAAAACGAACTCCAAAAAGAATGGAGGAAGTAAAAGCTTTTAAGATTAGATAGGTACATACATACATACATACATATATACATACATACACACAAATATACACATATATGCACATGTACATACATATACATAGTTACAGATATAAATGTATAATCTCCTGAACAAGTATCTATGGAAGGTCTATTCTTTATGTGTTTGATAATGTAGACTTCCCAAAAATTCTAAGAAATGACATGCTTTCAACTAAGAGTAAGAAAAAATATACTGGGATCCTACTGTGTAAGACAATACAATAACTCTCCGACATCAATCCATCAATCAACAAGTACCCGTTATGTGACAGGTACTATGTCACATCCTGAGGAAATGAAGAAAAAATTGAAACAGTGCCTGCTGTAAAGAAGCTTATGATTTTGCTGAAGTAGCAGGGAAAGGTGGACAAAATGTACATATTTCAATAAGTACAAAACAGATATAAGATAATTTTGGTAGGAAGGAAGGCACTACTAGCTAAGGGGGTAAGGATGGGCTTCATGTAGAAGGTAACCTTTGAACTGAACCTGGAAAGGAACTAGGTGGTCTAAGTGGTCTAGAGGTAATGAAGTTCTGCCATGACATGGAAGTCAACCAGTGATGTAGTACCATGTATAAGAAATAATAAGGTGAAGAATTTGAATGGATCATAGTATATATGAAGAAGAAGAATATATAATAAGCCTAGAAAAAGGATAGTTGGGGCATGGATTATTAGGGGATCCAGAGCAGTTTATGTTTGAAGTGCCTGGAATTTATTGAGGAGAGAGTAACGTGGTCCGACTTCAGATTTTAGGAAAATTATTTTGGCAGCCGTGGAGGAAGGACTGGGGGATTGACTGAAATGGGGAGAGACTTGAAGTAATAGGACTGACTCTGAGATGATTGTGACAGTTCAAGCAAGAGATAATATGGATTTATACTGGGCCAGTAGCTGTGTGAATGGAAAGAAGGGAACAGACATGAGCTTCATTGTGTAAGTAAAAACAAGATTTATTTCCTGACTGAATATGTGGGATGAGAGTAAGGAGTCAAGACTGACTTCACCAAGCTTGTGAAACTGAGTAACTGTAGGGATGTTGTTGTTCAGTCGGGTCTGAGTCCTCATGACTCCTTGAACCCTCACATGTCAATGCCGTCCATGGGGTTTTCTTAGCAAAGACACTGGAATGGGTTGGCATTTCCTTCTCCGGTGGATTAAGGTAAATAGAGAAAGTGTCTTCCTGCCTCCAGGTCCAGCATACTATCCAGTGTAATAGTGGTGTCCTAAACAGAAATAAGGAAGTTCAGTAAGGGGGTGAGTGGGGGAAGAAGATAATGAACTCTGATTTAGACATTTTAAGTGATGGGATGCCCAATCAGAAAGGCTTGTTAGACTATTGGTTCATGTAGGATACATTCAAGGGGAAAAAAAAATACATTCACAGTTCTTTATTCATATCCAACACCTAGTTCAGTGCTTAGCACATAAAAAACATTTAATGTTTGTTGACTGATTAATTCATTCATTCATTTACAGCAGAGACACATCCAGGGTAACTTGTGGTAATCAATGAATTTTGCTGAGCCACAAGAATATGGAAATTGGTGCTGGGGGACATTTTCTATTTCATAGCAATTTTTAAAAACACAAGTATTGAAGAGGTTTTTTTTTTAAATGTACCAATAGTTTAAAACCTATGATTTTCATGGAAGTAGTTTACATGAAAATACACTTAATTTATTTCCATATGCATGCTTACCTAAGAATTTTTTAATCAGTAATTCAATAGACATTTTATTCCCTTCCATCCTGTTGTTTAGTCCTTAAAGTTTTCATGGCAAAAGCATAAAACTGTGCAAATAACATTTCACTGCATGATGTTAAAGGACTCTTAAGAAACTAGTTAGACTTTTTATAATAATAACAAGGACTGAGGTGGGAGATGTCATTGATATTAAGAAACAGACCTTCTAACTAATTCCTGCCTTTTATGACATGCCCTCTTTCCCCCAAAATGTCTCATTCCATTTTGTAAATTTTCTTCCCCTGCTTTGTTTCCTCTTATTCTTGCTTTTCCTTGGCCCCTCATGCTGATGGGCAGCTGGGCCTGCAGCATGGCTGGGCAGGTGCCATTCAAATACTACAAAAGATAAAATCCATTGACTGAGTCTTTATCCACAAGGGCCTCTTCATGAATAATAAGCCAACATTTCAATTTTCTATTCATAAAACTGTTTGGTGATTAGCAAAATCTATGTGAGATGTAACAACAAATGAATATACCAAATTTAAAAAAATCTGATTTACAATATAATTCATGTGCCAGATAGGCTCTGATGATTGATTGTTTTCTCTACTTTCCATAAGCTGCAAGGTTGTTAAGAAGTAGAACTTAAACATAAAGAAAATTACTAGGGAGAGAAAATTCACTCAGTGTAAATAATGTTACTTCACTTGACCAATTCAAAGACCTTGGGATTGAGCTAGGTCAGGGCAGCCAGGTGGTACAGTTTATAGAGTGCCAGGCCTAGAGTCAGCAAGACTTGTCTTTCTGACTTCTAATCAAGCCTCAGACATTTCCTAGCTGTGTGACCATAGGCACATATCACTTAACCCTGTTTGCCTTGATGCCTCATCTGTAAAATGAGCTGGAGAAAGAAATGGCAAAACCACTCAAGTATCTTTACCAAGAATACCCTAAATAGGGTCATAAAGAGTCAGACACGACTGAACAGCAACTAGCTAGGTTCCTCTCATTCTTTCCAGCCAACAAGCAGATTATATGAACTCCAAAGCTTGGCTTTGGGAGCATCATATAGCTAGGTCTGCTTAGTACATATAAGTAATGTGAAATGGTTGCATTATTTGAATTTGCACTGCATATTTCCATTGGGCTAGAATCAATGCCACATTATACATAATTATAACTTCAAAACCCCAAAACATGAGACCATTTCATGGTATTCATCATTCGCACTAATTGGAATCTACCTGTATCATTAAAGCAGAACATAATGGGTTTATATTGGACAGTTCATCAAAAGCCCTTATCTATCTTTACCCTGCCTAAGAAGACCTTAAATATTTAAACACACAGGGAAAGGATTTCTGCTCAAGAGACTAAGAACATTCTGCAAAAATGTCAGTTCTCTAGTTTCATGCAAATTAAAAATGTTTCACTTTTACCCCCACATTAACTTAATTAACCAAATTTCCCTGGGTTAATGGAGCAGCAATGGCTGCTTATGCTTCCAGATAGCATGCACTCCCTACTCTGTCTTACCTGGGCTATGGTTAAGCCGCTTTTTCTTGTTGTTTTTGTTGTTGTTGTTGCTGTTGTTGTTCAGTTGTTTCAGTCATGTCTGACTCTTTGTTATCCCATTTGGGGCTTTCTCAGCAAATATACTGGGGTGGTTTGCCATTTCCTTCTCCAGCTCATTTTACAGAAGAAGGAAACTGAGGCAAATGGGGTTAAATGATTTGCCCAGAGTCACACAGCTAGTAAGTGTCTGAGGCCAGATTTTGAACTCATGAATAAGAGTCTTCCTGATTCCAAGCCCAATGGTGTGACTCCTAATCACCCTGTTTAATCAGCTAAAAGTAGTTAAAGATGGGAGAAGAAAAGAATTAGAAGGGAAAGAGAAGACACATGCTATTTTCTCCTCTGATGGTATATTCCCATGGCCAGATTGTTTTAAAAGAATTGTTGATTCTCACCTGATGAAGCTTTATCATTTGGAGAAGACTTCCAACTGTGAGCATCACAGTCACATAACATGAGGATGCTAAGCAGTGTTCTGCACAATATTTTTAGTATGAAGCATAAAGCAAAAATCTAAAGAGAGGTGATATGACTCATGCCCTGGGAGAGCCTCATTAAAATGAGATGTTTCTCTCTAGAGGGTAAGCCAGTAAGCAATGTTTAAATTACTTAATCAGGCTCCCAAATAACAGCCTTACCAGATATAAAGTTTTTTAAAACAAGTCTTTCTTTTCAGAGACCTGTGGCTGGCAGTAAGAAAGTAAAATCTAGGAGCAGTCAGGTGATTAGAGCACAGGCCCTAGAGTCAGGAGGACCTGAGTTCAAATGTGTCCTCAGACACTTAGTAGCTGTGTGACCCTGGGCAAGATTGCATTGTATTATGGGGCTGGGGAAAATTAATCCTACCTTCTGCACACAGGTTAAGTATTACAACTTTGGATAAGAGAAGTCAGAATTCTAAGAATAAGGCCAGTTCAGAATGACAAGAGCATGCTTCAGGAATTGACATACAGGCAAATCTGCAATAAACCAATGTCCATTTGTCATGCAATTTAATATCCTAAAGCAATTTTTCATTGTTAAAAGGCTTTTCTCTGAACATCCTTGTGATCAAATAAGTTGCTAAAACACTAAATAAATAAAAATTGCCCAATGATGAATGGAAATATTCCATTTCCTGTGCTTGAAAATGTGCAGTCTTTGGCTAATTGTGGATATCGGTGAGTTATGAACCTCTCACAATTAAGTGTCTTCTTCCTAGACGAGGGACAGGTGATGTTACTTATTCCAGATGTATAGTGCTGGGATAGCTGAAGAATAAGTCATTTGGGTGTGTTGTGTCAAAGTTTGGGCAATTAAAAAAAAAAAGAATGGAGGAGGATTAAAATGAGTCTAACATCCCAGAAAGTCACTGGCTAACAATGTGGTACAATGACCAGAGTGCTAGAATTGGAATTGGGTTCAAATTCCACGTGTGCTGTTTACTGTCTGCATGAACTTGGACTAGTTGCCTTAGAAAAAGTGCTCTGAATTTTGGTTTCTTAATTTAAAGTTGGAAATAATATCTACTGCAACTACATCACAGGGCTGCTTTGGTGTTCAAAGGAGACAATATGTATAAAGTGCTTTGCAAAGTTTAAAGCACTATGCACACGTAAGTTATCATAGTACTATTGTGTGCATAAATGGCTACCAAACTGGTGAGACCTAGCTGCCTCAAAACCTCTCCTACTATCTATTATTTAATTCTACTTGCAATTTTTCACTCTCAAACTCTTTGAAGACCTCAGTCCATCTGCCAACAATTTCTGATTTCAATTTGAAGCCACTGAATTGATTGTTTTTGTTTTTATTTGTTGTTGCCTTTTTTAATTTCTTAGGTAGCTGGCAGCTGCACAATCAATCAGATTAACTATGCAGTAGGAAATTTCATATGAATGAAGCACCAGATCTAGTGGTCTGTCTTAGTTACATCTAACTAGCTAATAAATGGTTTGTTTCACTACATTGTTAAGGTTGGTGTAATTCTGGCAAATCCCTTGATTTGAGACTGATCCAGTCCTAAGAGGTTTGGCAATGAAGGGGGTGGAGGGGATAAAATTCCTGTCTTAGGAATGCTGAGATTAATCAGATTCTGAACAAGTACTTCTTGGTAATTAGAGCTATTAAGGAGAATTGGAGCTACCTCCAACTCTTCCCTGCCTGAATCAGATCCCCAGTTACATCAAGAAGCAAGCCAAAACTCCCAGTAATTATTTGGTCAATTAAAATTTTCAAAACCAGCTAACTCTCCCTAGTGTCCCCCAGACAAGGATATTTGTGGATCAGTTTCAATAAAAGGTGGGAGAGATTATAGGATTTAGAGCTTTATGAATGATCTAGTCCAACCCCTTTGTTTTTCAGATAACGAAAGTGAGGCAGAGAAAGGATAAAAATTGTCCAAGGCCGTACAGTTGTAGGTGGCAGAGCCCAGCTCCCCCTCTTTGCTGATATTAGAATAAGACCCTAGTGCAGTCTAGTCTGTTTTCAATCTGACCCCTTGCCAACCTGAACAGTAAGGTTAAATCAAAAGTCAACTAACCATACAGCAAGTTGGGCCATGTTGTTCCTCCTCTTAACTTTTCTTCTCCTTTCCCAAACTCTGTGTTCATGCAGGGCACCACAATCTCTATGTCTATTTCCACACTGAAGTCCAACTTTATTCCTCTTATCATCTCAACCATGTTCAGTGCTAAGTCTTCTCAAGATGAGAACAGTGGAGTCAGCAGCTTCGGAATGATATTGATTTGCCTTTTTATGAAGTTATTCTATGTCTTTCTACTTCTTTCACTTCTATTTCACAGGTCTTACATCCATCCCCCTGTTCTCTACTCACCCTAGGTGAGACCTTTATCATCACTCACCTAGACTATTGCAGAAGCCTCCTGCTTGTTCTCCCAGCTTCTAGTCTCTTCTACTCTCCAATACATCCTCCACATAGATGCCAAAATATTTTTTCCAAAAGCAAAAGTGTGATTATGTCACTTCCCTGACCAAGAATTCCCAGAGGTTTCCTCTTTCCACTAAGGCAAAATGCTAATTTAGCTTAGCAGTAAGAGTCCTCCACTTTACCTTTCCATTCTTATCCATTCCTTTTCTTCATGTACTGTGAATTCCAGTCAAAATGGCCTTCTATCTTCCTACCTTCAGAAAGGCCTTACAATACTCTCTCTCCCTACTTCTCCTCCTTAGAATACCTAATTTTCTTCAAGGCTCAGATCAAGTGTCTCCTGCAGGGCAGCTGGGTTGCGCAGTGAAGATGGACTTGGGGTCAGGAAGACCTAAGTTCAAATCCTGCCTCAGATACTTACTGGCTATGTGACTCTTGGCAAATCACTTAATTTCTCTAAAGCCTCAGTTTCCTCATCTGTAAAATGGGCATTATAATAGCACCTAGCTTTGCCGAGGTGTTGTGAGGCTCAAGTGAGAGAACATGTGTGAAGCGTTCTGCAAATCTTGGAGAACTCTATAAGTCCTAGTTCTCATCAGCATTGTTATTATAAAGAAGTTATGCAGGATTGACACTTGTCCATACTCATGAAACTCATAGGGATGAGATGAAGATTTAAACCCAGATCTTCTAATCTCAGGTCCAGAGCTGCCTCCCCTCCACCATGCTGGATAGGAATCATGTCATTCTCGATCATCTGGCCATTATACTGGTATTTAATAAATAAGCATTAAAAAGTCTATAGCTAGGAAGATCATTTCAATCTTTAAAAATATTCCTCAATATTCATTTTTCTATGAAACCTTCTTTGAGTTTTTTTCCAGAAGGGGAAGAAGAGGAAGAGTTTCCAAACCTCTAGTTTCAATATAGGGTACTTCCATTAAAGAAATTCCATCTAGCAAAGCATCTCAGCAGCTGTTCTGCAGTTTATGTAATCTTAGATGCAGGGGACACATAGAGGTTAAGTGACTTGGCCAGGATAATACAGCTAATATATATCCAGGCTAATGTCTTAAGTAATGTCTTAATGACTATTCGAATTGCCTGACTTCCTTGATTAAGCTAGGGAAATTCAATCCATGTCTCTTCAACTCGTATTCCTTAGGTGTCTACTACATGCAAGGCAAAATGTTAGGCACTAGGAATACATAATAAAAAAAAAAACCCAAACTGTTCCTGACATCCAGGTACTAACATTTTGATGGGGCTACAAATTGGCTAATTATATTTCAGTACTTAAATCTGTATTTCCATGGTTCTTTGGGATGCATCTAAGGACTAAATTAAATTGTAAGTTGTCAGGAGAACTAGAGAATTGTCTCTACACAGTAGCAGAACCAGAGACCCTCTCAACACTTGATAAAATTTGGGTGAAATTAAATTAATAGCCACATACCCTCTCCAAAATGCTTCCTCTCTCTATGCCCCAGTAAATAAATCTGACTCAGGAAGCCAGGAATTTTAAAGGAGACATACATGAGTATTCAAGGATAATGCCTTAATCCTCTGTGGATGAATGGCCTATTCAACAATTCTAACCTCAACTCATCTACCACCTCATTATCTTATTAGCCTGGGCTATCTCATCTAAAAATAGACATTCCAAAATTCTTTCTACTCCTATTGTTAGAATTTTAAAATGTACTTCCATTGCTTTGTCTGAGGAAGGAAACCCTTTACTTCTGTTCCCCATTAAGGATGGTGGTAGGGAGAAATAAGAAAGAGGAAGCTGACAGGAAGAAATTTGAATGTGAAATTTTTAAAAATAAACTTTTAAAATACATGTATAGAACACTAGAAACCTCCAAGAAAGAAATACTGTACATGTAAGGCAAACCAAATAAATCTCTCTTTTTTTTCTGGAATTCTTAGGACTTCATTAATTCTAACCCTCATTTTTCCCCTGTTTATTAATCCAGTGTGACTGAATCTCTTTTCTGTGTGCATTTTTATCAGCTCTTTGTTATTCACAAGATGGGCTTTCCCTATGAACCATCAAAATTTACATTATTTATATTTGCCAACCTCATTCTCCATTTGCAAACCTGTCAAAAGAGTATTGATTGAATTTGTGAGGTATTATTGGTGCAGCTTTCAAATGTGATCTTTATTGGTTTCTTTGATTGCCCAGGGATTGTGCTTCCCACAGTATTGTTTAAGGAAGAGAGCACATTTTGCCACAGATACTCTTAGCCACTGGGTCCTTAAAGGAGAGAGCTGATGAATTCTCAATTCAACCTTTATTTGCCAGAGTTTTTTATTTTTGACTCAGTAATAACACATATGAGCAAAATGAGTATTCAAGTAGGGCAACAATCTATGCAAAGTAGATAAACATGTAATGTCACTCCGGAAAGATTCCTCAGGATACTAGTCAAGGGAAGCAAATAAGTAGAAGAGCTTCATGTTTGGAAACCAAGTCATCCTGGGGCTGGGAGATGGTTCCTGCCAACTGTGCAGTTCTAAAAATCAATTAAATAAACCTGAGCTCCCAGTGAGCCAGGCACGGCATAATAAGGAACACCATTCTAAGTGATGTTTTGGTTTCAAGCAGAGAGTACAAACACTGATACACAGAGACAATGGGGTTGTTTCTGAAGTGCCTTAAAAATAGCTCCAGTTACGCTTTTTCAGTCACTGACTATTTGGGATTTATGGCTACCATAAAGCACAGAGAGAAAGAGGAGAACACATCAGGGCAAGAGACAAAATTGGAATTGTTCAAAGTTGGGTCAGGAGGTCTGTGGATTGTGTGTGTGTGTGTATCTGTGTGTGTTTATGTGCATGCTTCAAAAATGTAAAAAGAGTTCATAAGAAACAAAGAGAGAATAAAGGCAATTATTAGAAAATACTTTGCCCAATCATTGCTGACAACCCTGAAAATTTAGATGAAATGGGTGAATATTTACAAAAATATAAAAATACCAGATTAACAGAACAAGAAATAGGGGATTTAAATAACTCAATCTCAGAAAAAGAAATTAGACAATCCATAAATGAACTCCTCTCCTTCCCCAAAAAGGACAAGATGGATGATGGGTTTATAAGTGAGTTCTATCAAATATACCTGGGAAAATTGCAGGAGAGCTCCTTCCTGGAAGAATCTCAGAGAAAGTCCAATCTTCCATCTGAAGAAAAAAGAAATGGTGCAGTGAAAAGATCATTGAACTTGGAATCAATCCTAGGACCTACACTTAAATCAGGACTCTGAAACTTAATACCTGTATAACTTTTGGCAAGTCAAATGATCTTTCCAACCCTCAGATTCTTTATCCTTAAAATGAGGATAATGTCTCTGAGTCAAGAAGACCTGGGTTTAAGTCCTGCCTTTGACACACACTAGCTGTGTAAACATGGGCTAATCTGCATTGGTAGAGGGAATTTCTGCCTGTATTCCCTGTATTAATATAGTCATAAGTCCTGACCTGATGATCATAATAGTAATAATTGTAATGCATATTTCATAAGGAAATATTGGAAATGGTACCCCATATCACTGTAGTTGCAATAATGTAGCACCTACCAAAGTGGTCAGAATTACACACCAGGAAAATTGGCGGCTCATAGAACAAATCAAAGGGAAAAAAAAGATAATTTCATTAAGGAAAATGTCAACAGTGAGATCACATATCAAAACTCTGGTATGCAGTCCATAAGGTAAAATTTATGTCTCTAAACACTTTAATCAACAAAAGAGAGAGAACAAATCAATGACTTGGGCATACAACTAAAAACAAAAAGAACTAGAATAGCAGTAAATAAATTAAAAAAAAAACTAAACACCAAAACTGAAGTTCTGAAAATCAAAGAAAATATTGGTAAAAACAGAAAGCAAAAAGAAATTGATAAATAATAGGAACTAGAGAGTGAGGGATAATAACTAAGAAACAGTGGGAGGGGTTAATAACAAAAAGAAACCAATAGCTAGTCTGATTTTTAAAAAAGAAAGAAGAAATCAAACCAGTATCAAAAATGAAAAGAGTTCATAAGAAATAAAGAATAAAGGCAATTATTAGAAAATACTTTGCCTAATAGTATGCTGATAAACCTGACAATTTCAATTAAATGTATGAATATTTACAAAAATATAAACACCAACTTAACAGAACAAGAGATAGAGAATTTAAATAACCCAATCTAAGGAAAAGAAATTACAGTCCACAAATGAACCTCTCCTGTCCCCCAAAAGGACAAGATAGGAGATAGATTTATAAGTGAATTCTTTCTATCCAAATAACAAATAATTCTACTATTACACAAACTACTCCAAAAATAGGGGGCAAAATGTTTTTTACCAAACTACTTCTATATCACAAATATCTTTTTAATATTTTATTGAAGTCAGTTATTTTTATATCTTTATGATTTTCCCCAGTATCCTTCCCCTTCTCCTTCCCAGAAAACTAACCCATATAACAAATGGTATTTTTAAGACAAAAAGAAGAAAACAATCAGTTCAACCAAACAATACATTGGAAAAGTCTAAAAACAAGTGCAGTGTGCAACACCTATGGACACCCCACTTCTGGAAAGGACTGGATTAGAAATGTCCTCTCATATCCCTTTTTTTGAAGTCATGCATATTCTTTATAATTTTGCAACATTCATTTTGGTTTTGTATGTATATGGTTGTTGTCTGCATTTACATTGTTGTAGACATTGTGTATATTGTTTTCTTGGCCCTGATTATGTCATTCTACATCATTTCATGGATACCTTTACATAATATACTTTCGGTATTTATTACACCCATCATTTCTCATACGACGGTAATATTCCATTAAATTCAGGTATCACAATTTGTTTAGTTATTTCCCAATGAATTGGCATCTACTTTGTTTCCAATTCTTTGCTATCATAAAAAGTGCTGTAATAAATATTTTGGTTTTTATGGGAACTTTCCTCTTCTCAATATGACCTCTATGGGCTATAAGCATAATAATGCAATTTTTGGGTCAAATAGGGACAATAATAGTACTTGCCTGGAAGTGAAGAAAAGGGCCCATTAATGATACATGCCCAGAAGCAAACCCTCTGGAAGTTTCCAAAGCTTGCCTGGAATGCTGGCTGAACATGGAAGGGGTGAGGGGAGGTAAAGGGAAAAGGTAGGGAGGGAATTACACTGACAGAAATGTTGCCCACAATCACTGGGACCTAACACTGACCCACAAAAATTTAAGTACAAAGCTTTTAATTGATATCATCATTCTGAACATCCATAACCTCCAAATTATATGACATGAAAAACTCTCAAAATATAAAGATTTAGCTGAAGAAATGAAAACTATATGAGAACAGGATGAAATTGTGTATAATTTCTATCCTTCTGCCTAGTAATGGAGTGTTCCCGAAGTCAGTCAGTCAGCCAATAAGCATTTGTTAAACACCTACTGAGATGCTGTGCTAAGCATTGGGTATACAGAAAGATGTAAACGACAGTCCTTGCCCTCAGATGACTCGACATTTGTGTATACTGTTTTCTTGAGACAGCTCATCATACTTTCAGTGAGCCTACAGAAGGTGAGCTCACATTCATATATGAGCTCTATTCTCTTTTTGACTATGACCTTTACTTAATTACAAAAAGTAATCATTTTATCCATGTGTGCAATAGTCCACTAAATATTAAACAAAAAAGACAATAGTTGTAGGACAGCAACTTGTCCCAGGAACGCTTCTATCTGATCTTCATTGTACAGAAGAGAAGAATGAACTAACAATAATAATGATGATAATATTTATACTACTCACCTCATGGAGTGGTAAAGAAATTGCTATGCGGAGCTTATAGTGCATACGATTGATAGACAACTGAACTATTATTCTATCTCATATGAATAATAATAATAGCTAGCAATTTTATAGTGCTTTGAGGTTTGCAAAGCATTTTACCATTATTGTGTGATTTTATCCTCACAATAACCCTGGGAGGTAGGTTATATTATCATCATTTTACAAATGAGGAAACTGAGACAGACAGCAGCTTAGTAACTTCCCCAAGGTCATACAGCTCGATGAGTGTTTGAGGTCACATATGAACTCAGGTCTTTCTGACTCCAGGTCTAGCACTCTATCCACTGCACTACCTAGTTGCCTCTTTTCCTTGCATATTGCTTCTGATTCTTCAGGTCACCATTTCCCAAAATGTAAAAATAAATGAATAATTAAACTGGAGCAGCTAGGTGGCACAGTGGATAGAGCACCAACTCTGCAGTCAGGAGAACCTGAGTTCAAATCTTTCCTCAGACACTTACTAGCTGTGTGACCCTGGGCAAGTCATTTAACCCCAATTTGCCCCTCCCCTGAAAAAAATCAAGTAAAATTGAAATCATATATTTTCAATTACTGTCCCTACAATTCAATAAGGGGGATGATTTTTAATCTCTATAAGGCTGACAGGGACCCACCCCCCCAAAAAAAAAATGGTTGAAGGCAATGAGGCACCATGCATAAAGTCCTTGACTAGAACCTGTGAAGACCCAGCTTCCAATTCCACATCTGATACTTACTGGCTTTATGACCCTGAGCAAATCACTTAAATTCTCTCAACTTAGGTTTCCTCATCTGTAAAATGAGAGACTTGGGCTAGATGGCCTCGGAGGTCCCTTCAGCTCTAAATTTATGACCTTCTAGGAGTGTATTAGGATGGGAGGGGGAACAGGTATGGCTGTTTTGTTATCAAAAGGAAACAAGGGAGGTTAGACCTCTTTAGAAGAGGAATTTTGATCTAATTATTGAGGGATTGTATAACTCCAAAAATATTTTGAAAAAAGAAAATCATTGACCAGCACTGATCCTTTCCTTTCTGCTTCATGTCCCATGCTTCATTCGCTGCTTTCATGCAGGGAAAGAATTAATTGTGCTTCTTAGATACTGGAGCTGGAAGTAGACTAAATGGATATCCACAAAAGGTAAGATGTATGCATCTGTGTGTGTGTGTGTGTGTGTGTGTGTGTGTGTGTGTGCGCTTATGTATTTCTTCCCAAGATTGCCACAGCCAAATACATGATGCTAGTTCCAAAACTACACTGTTGGAAATGCTCACTGGCACATACAATGACATTAATGCTGGAAGGCATCCTAGTCAATATTTCCAGGAGTGCTGTCACAGCTGGGCAGTTTGGCAGAGTTTCCACATAGAAGAGATTTTCTTTTTTTTTTAGGAAATTCAGGAGAAGTGATAAAGTGATTATCCAACTCTACCTCCCCTGGATTCTCATCAGTTACATTTAAAAGTTAACGTTCCCTGGGCCATTCCTCTTTAGGAGAGCTGATGTTCATCATTTCATCAAGAAATAAGACGAAAAACAGCTCGATGAACAGATTTAAAACTTCTTTAAGCCAGGCCCTGAAGCTATTTTCCTGGAAGTCCTGGTGCTTACATGGAAGCACAGGGCCAAGATACTCAGTTTGCAGTAGATAGTTCCTACTGGGGTCAGTGGTAGTTGTTCCCAATTACTGAGACAGAATTTGAACTCCTAGGTTCTGGACTTTTTGTCACAACACAGGAGACACATCAAACAAATAAATAAATAAAGCTACAACCCCCCAGCTGTCTGATTTGCACCACTAGGGCATAGTTACAGATTTCAACAATAAGTAAACTGGGGAACTGAGCCAAATGCTTTTCTCTCACTTCCTTTATATCATCAAAAATGCATGAATCCTGATTCAGATAATACATATTGAAAACTACTCCTTTCAGGGATGGGGAGATGTTTCCCTAAACAAAAGTACCTTTCTTTGAGGCTGCCAAATGACCCATCACAGAAGAGGACTCCCAAGGAAGGTCAGTAGTAAAGTTGGCTCATGTCACCAGCACTGACTCTATGTGTCCCTCTCATCCCAGTTCGACTCTTTGGTTTTGTTTGGCTTTCCTTGAGTGTGCTGGGCTGGGTTTGCTGTCCTTCCGGGTACCACTGCCCATCCCATCGTGTCTGGATCCAGTCGTTGAGGCATAAAAAGATCTATGGAGAAGAACTGCAAAGGGCTCAATACTACGGTGACCTGGACATGTAGGGACGCAAAATCTCTCTGACCCGGAAGCTATTACAATGTTTTCTGGTATTTTTGTTTGTTTGTTTTTTCAACCTTATGGATGCCTTCTGTTTTTACACCACAGTAATTT